AAAAGAATTAAATTAGTAAGAGACAAGTATCTATGTCCTGTACAAATTAATTTTTTCTGTCATAGGAGACAACCTTTAAATCCAGTGATCTATTTTCAGATTCCTTATTCAACATTTTAACGTTCTCATATGTGTAACAAAAAAGCAACAAACTCCTACTCTTTCCAATTCCAGTAATTCATTAAGCTATAAATATTTTATTAGCTCATATTATGAATTATCACTACACAGAGAATCTGTAACAAATTAAAGTTACTAAATTTATGAAAACAGGTTATTTTGGGGCCCACTATGGGTGATTGTACCTCCATTTTTATGGTCTGTGATGATGCTAATTGCAGAAGGAAATAACATATTCTGCTTGAGGTATTGTTGCCTTTGCAGATGTGGAGAATACATCTCAATCCTCACAATCATACCCATAATCAGATATTTTTAGATACATTTCACAGCAAAGCAAAACAAATGATGCTTAGAGTGGTTCAGTTGCTTGGCACATATAAAATGAATAGATAAAACCAGTACAACTAGGTATTAAATATGGAAATCCTTTTTGAACACTTGAATGAATGAACACAGCTAGAGGTTCATCCAGGATTTGCTGACTGGCTCCAACTAGCCTCTGGAGACTAGGGTCCCTCTGCTGCTGCACTCTGCATTCAAGGATCAAAATTTCCTACCTCCAAATTATAACGTTTCCTGGAATTCCAGCTTTCTGGAGCTCTACTTCTGATCTTAGCTTTGGCAAGAGTGAACCTATTCTCTCCCTCTCATGTTCCTTTACCTATTGCCATAAACTCACCTCCAGCATGCAACTACCCACCACAGGAAACTCACCTACAATCCATGCAGTGGTCCCCAACTTTTTTGGCACCAGTGATCCTATGAGAATCCAATGCCTGATGATCTGAGGTGGAGTTGAGGTGGCGATACTAGCACTGGGGAGTAGCTGCAAATACAGATGAAGCAATCATCATATTTATTTTTTGAATGAGGTCAGCTGCTATGATTTTTCTTAAGCCTTGAGTTAGGACTACTATTTTGTTGCTTGAATCACTTATGGTTCACTTCTTTTGTGTCCTTCTTTCACAGTCCAAGGAAACCTAATTTTATACCAGTGACTTCTAATTTTATACCAGTGACTTGAAAACTATTTCTCAGTACAAACTTTGAGAGGAAAATTTCCCCTGTTAAATTAACAAAGATTTTATTTAGACAATTTTCCTTCCAATTCCCCCCAGAGAACAAGGATCATATTTTATTATTCACCATATTATACCCAATGTATTGGTATTGTAGTAAACACACAGTAACTATTTTTGAGTGATTGAATGAATAAATTTTTTAAATCTAGATTTTTAGTATAGAACCACAAGTTACAACAAGAGACTACTTTAAATTATCTGTTTTTTGAGCTAATAAATAACATTATAGGATTTCTATGAGGATCGAATGAATATGTAAAGTGCTTTAAAATGTCTGCCATTTAGAATCACCATATAAGTGCTTAGCTTTATCATTATTATCATCTAAAACCAGTGGGAGGTGGCGGGGTGGGGAAGGGGAATGAACCAATAACCTGTATAGGCAATCCATAGAAATAGAAAATCAAATGGTTAACATACAAAAACATACAAAAAGTTTCACTTCACATATATTTAAAGATATGCTAATTAAAATAATAATATAATATTTTCCTCTCCATTAAATTAACCAATATTTATAAAATTAATAATAAAAAGTCTGGGCAAG